TGGAGAGGACTCTGCATTGGTACCCAGCCACCATATGGCAGTTGGCAACCATCTGTAACTCCAGTTCCAGAGGATGTCACGCCCTCTTCTGGCAACTATGGACACTGCGTGCACACGATGGTACAGGAACAGTAGGTACTCACACATACACGTAAGGAGTAAATAAAAACACACCTTTCTCTTTGGAGAGATCACACAGCACAAGCTGCACTGCTGGGCTTTGCCTTTAATAATGGCAAAATTAGACGCACACTGGAGAATTATTTTGAAATAAATGACATAGTATCAGTGGGTAATTGATTTGGAAGAAATATACCTATTTTATGTACTTCAGTTCTCTCAGTCGTGTGGACGCCTTGGGGGTGAAATTGGCTGTGAATGGGAAAAGTTTTAGAGTCTCTGGGTTCCCTCAGCTGCACTGAGTGGCTTCATCTTCAGGGAAAAGATAGTGTGCTGTAAGGTGTAAAGGGCTCGGGAGAGTCAGACAGGGGTCTGGCACTCAGCAAGTGATCAAGAAACCGCAGTCTTTGGAATGAGTGGGATTTGCCCTTTTTATTAACAGGAGTGAGCCACGTTCCCTTCCCGAGTTCTCTAGTGACCCTTTCCTCTTCAGAGAGCCTTTATGTGACCTGTCTCTCCACAGTCTGCTCCCTGACAGGGACCCATCCACATCTCACGTGATGGATCTGCTCTTTGTCCAGAGTCTGCGCTGGGCTCTTGGAGGCTGAGAAGTGGCCCCCAGAGGACCATGGCTCTGGAGCTGGCCTCACGACAGTGAGAACCTCAGAACAGTGGATACATGAGGACTCTGCCTACCCACCTTGCCAACCCTGAGAGACTCAACTGACCAGAGCAGCAAAAGCCAGTGTCCCTCAGGTGACCCAAATCCCCCTAGAGTGCAGACTTGGGAAGCTCCAAGTGGTCAGGAAAGTTTACACTTTGTCCTCACCATCACTTACCAGCCAGGCCCTGGCCTGCCTCATATGGGCACAGACTAAGAGGGGCTCTCCTTGTAAATGCAACTCAGACGCCTCCCAAAGGCCCAAGGCCATCCGAAGGACAGCCTGTGTCCTGTTCTCTGAGGAGAACAGCAGCTAGCACTGCTGGCCTGGGGAACTTTACCCTGACAGGCCTTTCTGCTTCTCACTCATGGGCCCCCTGAGCCTCTATGAGTAAAGTTGTGTTTCTTGTTCTAGCCAAATACCCTAGAAAAGCAACTTAAGGAAGGAAGGGAGCCTTTATTTCAGCTCAAGGTCTGAGGGGAATGAAGTCTGTCAGGGTAGCAGGCGTATAAGCCGTGGCTCACATCCCACCTGCAGTCCAGCCGGGAAGCAAGATGGACGCTGGGGCTCAGCTAGCTTCTTCCTATTTTATCCGGCAATGACCCTGGCTGTGGGTCGGGGTGACCACATTCAGGGTGGCTTTTCCCTTCTCAGTCAAACAGACTCTCCCAGGGGCGTGTTTCCTCGGCCATTCCCCATCCAGTCAAGTTGACAGTGGAGTCTGACGACCACACCCGGCTTGCCCTATCTCCAACTCCTCTGAACACAGCTTGATTCCAGTGCCACAGAGGAGAATCCGAGAGAACGGGCTTCCATCACATTAGCTAAATTCGACTGTGACGTTATCTTTGACAACACGGGTCTCTTCTGGAAAGTCTGCCCTGGGAGGAAGGGGTGCTTAAGAGAAATGCCCTGTTCCCCAGGGCTGGGATCCAGGCGGAGTGGCCTTGAAGTAGACCGTTCCCATGCCACGTCAGTGAGCTCCTTTGATTGTCATGCTGTTTGGCTTTGGACAGCCTGGGGAGTGGGGACAGCCTGGGTAGGGAGTACGTGGACTGAATGGTTGGGGAGATGGGTGAGCCACTCCCTAGGGCTCTTGGTGAGTATCAGTTGGGGTTACCACTTTCCCAGGAAGATTAGTCACACCCTAGGAATAGACTTGAACAGCCTTTATTGGACACTCAAGGTCCCAAAAAGATTAATTTTAAAATCTTCTGTTTTAAATTTAGAAATAATCACATGACTAGGCAAAAGTTGAAGATAAGCAGATGAGTTATTTATTTTTTTTATGGAGGGAAAATAATTGTGCTGCCATCTAATATGAGGAAGGAATTAAAATATATGGCACATTTGTAAGGGTAAAAAATTCATAAGCATATATGAATTCTTAAGCATGATTAACAGGATGAATAAAACAAACAAACAAACAAAAAACTTCTTGGCCCTCAGTAAACGTGTTTAAGCCTCATCCCCAAAGGGATTGGATATCTGCATTTCTTGCCTGTCTTTCCACGTCTCTGCTGAACCTTTGCAAACACTTGCTGAGTGTGGAGGGCCGTGGAACCAGAGTGCGCTCTCTGCCTCTAGAGGAGGCAAGCCCTCAGCAGTCAAAGCCACAGTGCAGAGGTCTGGGTGGGTTTGGTCAGGAGGCTGGGGATTACGACAGGAAGGGCAGAAGTGGGATAGAGCTGAGGTGTGACACGCATGTGGGGATAGCAGGTGTGTGTGCTGTCTGTCTGTCCAGGACCTGCTGCTGGTGAAGAAGCACTCAGTGAGGGTTGAGGGGCCATGGTGTGTGGTGTGGGTGGGTTCAGGCTGTAGTGTAGATGACAGCCCAAGGGGACTGTCTGACTAGCTGACTGGGCTGACTGGGCTGACCCATCTCTTCACAGTCTATTCTCCTTGGCATGTTTGGGTCATCACCAATCTCTAGTCTGGTGCGTCTGGGAGTGCCTCTGTGGTATCTCACAGACTTGGGTCAGCCTGCCCTCAGAGTCCAGCTTCAGGCTGGAAGGGAATCTGTCTGCTAGAAAGGATCTCTGGTCACCAACGTCATGTCCTCCAACTTTCCCAACCACAGTGGGAGAGACAGTTATAACAGATGCAATGGCCGTCTCCTGGGACTCCATGACCTGGTCACACCGCTGCCTTTCCGAAGCAGCAAAGGGAAACCAATGGACACCTAAATGCTCAGCTGGGAACTGGCCACTGTGTCACATGCTGGCCACAAGGGGGCAGAAGAGGCTTAGGAAATGAGGTTGAGACTTCTGTTATCACAAACCTATATACAGCTTTATTTCCATTTCACTTCTGTGTATGCGGTTATATCTTTGTGAGCATATGCCTCATGTGTGCAGTAGCCAGCCGAAGCCTGCAGACAGCATGGAGTCCCTGGAGCTGGAGTTACAGGAGGTTGAAAACACCCAGTGAGGGTGCTGGGACCTGAAACTGGATCCTCTGAAAGAGCTGTTAAGCTGACCCATCTCCAGCACCTGCCCTAGCATTTCATACCCTTGGGGTAGCCTATTGAAAGGTCCTCCCCGTGGAAGTCATATGTTGGGAACAAAGGAGGAGATAATGTTTGTAATAATTCCCAAGTCACCTGGAGTCCAAGGTCCTCGAGTCTTGTGACGCCTGGGGAGGGGTTTGGCAGGGCTGGGGTGAGGTGGGTGTGGACAGGAAAGACAGGTTTCTAGTAACAACTCATCGTAGCAGTTACTAGAGCTATAACAGGGCTCATGGCATCACCTCTATTTGCGACTAACTGAAGCTTAACAGAGATTCAACGAGGTTTTGTTTTCTTCTTTCTGTCAGCTCATAACATCTCCTTAACTTGCTGAAGATCCCCAGCAGGGAGGGCAGGTGGTGTCAGGGGTGGAGGAGGCTGGGGTGATAAGCTGGACTTTCACCTCTTCCTGATAAAGAAACTTGCAGAGGAAAACACACTGAGTTCCCTTTACTTTAACTTTCAGTTTTGATGGTTGCTCTATGGCTGGGAGTGCTCTGCTGGAAAAGGCCCCGTCAAAGTCTCTGCAGAGGTCTTGGCAGCTTGTGCCAGGCTCTGATTCTTGTTTGCTGTCGTAGAAACCACGAACTTTTAGAAGATATTGAAACTAGAGCTTGGCATTGGGGGAGCTGTGAGAACAAACACCTTGGAGCAGGGCTGAACTCTGAGAGGAAGATTTGGGGTCTGCTGGGTCCCCTAAGGCCTTGAGCTGTGCCCCATGAAGTCACAGCCTTTCAAAGCTGGGAGCAGAGATTTCAAAGCAGGTAGGTTGGATTTGAAGACACCTGTGAGCCCGAGAAAGGAACCGGAGAAGAGATTAAGTTCAGTGAGTCCCGGCAGGTAACATCCCTGGTGGTTGAGCCTGGAGACAGCTCAGGGGTCCTGAGTTTTCCTTGTCAGGTCTTTAGGTTGCTCCCTTACCTAACCTTCCTAGCAGCAGGTGGTTGGGGCAGACTAGGGTTTATTGAGTTCTTTTCAAGCCTGTCTCATCATGCAGCGTCTTTATGGTGACTGAGACTATGAGGATAAATGTGTCTGAGGGATGTGTGTGGCCCCTGCTGAGTGTAGGGTGATGGCCTGGAACCCCAACAAGGACTGGGCTGGGACTGAAGTATGGACAAACTCCACAACCAAAAGCCAGGACAAGGTGCTCGTGATGGACAGCACAGCCTCCTGGGAGACATGTCTGTCTCTGAGGCTGCCCAGATGGTGTCTGGTCTCAATGATGGGATGGCAGAAACCCAGACAGCTGCCATGCCATTCCCGAGTGAGGGGCTGGGCCTAGGCTCTTTGTCTTGGAGGTCCCAGGCAGTCTGTGGATGATGGAGGGTTGGAGTGATGGTGTCTACTCTGGGCTCTCCTCTAGGCCCTGAGAAAGGCAGGACCTAGGTTTCTGGGCAGAGCTTGGCCTCACTGTGTCTGGGAATGGGGTGGGAAGGGAGGGAATCTTCCTCTCAGATGACTTGGAGGTCCCCAGCTCCCTAGTTGTGCTCTGCAGGGCCAGGAGGAACCGCAGCATGGATGTTTGTCAGTGTTGGGTTGTGGGGGTCTTCATCTTGTTAACGTGGATGTGTTTTGTCCAGCGGGGCTGACACCAGCCCTACGATGCTCTCCCTGCTCAGATGACCAAGCTTTGGGTGGAATTTGCCTCCTGCCTGCTGCCCAAGTGTCACGGTGTTCTCCGTCTGTTTTTTCCTCCCAGCTCTGAGGACATGGAAAATTGCTGCAAGAACTCTCTGCTCTCCCAGCTTACCTGCCTGTTTGTCCTTGAACAGCTGCTTACCTGCGTGTCCACAAGTGAGTGTCTCCCCTCCTCTCTTCCGGTGTCTCCCTCCAGTGATTGGGATCTGCCAGGTGCTAGGCCGCTCACATTTATCCCTGGGTCCAGGATTTTCACAGTGTTCTCTTTACAGTGAATTATTAACAAAAATCTAGGCTGAACATGTCTGCATCAGCATTCCAGAGGCTGAGAGTGGAAAATTGTGAGTCTTTGGCCAGCCTGAGCTCCATAGCCACGCCTGACCCTGGGAGCATAGTTGCGGACAAAGCGTCAGAGCTGGCAGTGTGCCTGGAGTGTGAGGAGCTGCAGAGGCCGGTGTTGACTAAAGCAGAGTGATCCAGGGATTGAGAAGCAGGGGCTGAGGGTGTGAGATTCCCGTAGGGGTTGATGGTGGAGGTCTTGCAGAGACTGCTGGTAGAGGATCCTTCAGCGGCTGAGGGTGGGAGGTCCTGAGGTGGGAGAATCCCTGTAGGGCCTGGTGATCCCTGGTGGGAAATGCGGAGCCATGACTGAGCGTTGAGCAGAGCAGGGGTGTGGCTCTGATCCATGGGAAAGGGTCACAGATATGGCAGCTGTGAGCCAGCAGGCAGGAGTCCTGTTCTATCGAGTGGCAATGGTGCGTCAGAACTAAAATGGAGCAGCACACGGTGACAAGTAGCTGTTTAGGGGCCCACGGTGTCTGTATAGAGCTCATCCAGACCTAGTGGGCTAAAGGCGCCGAGTGAGGAAGGCCATCTCTGTTCTCACGAAGAAGTGATTGGGGCTCCTGGGAGTGTTAGTGGCTCTTCCATAGAAGTAGCCTTGTTTCCAGGTATTTTATTTCAAGCGTGTGGGTGTTTTCCCAGAATGTATGGCTGTGTACCACCTGCATGTCTGATGCCCACAGAGTCTAGAAGAGTGTTACAGACAGTTGTGAGTCACCACATGGTGCTGGGAATGGGACCCAGGTCCTCTGGAAGAGTAACCAGGCTCTCACCTGCTCAGACATCCCTCTAGCTCCTTGCTCTACGTTTTAAGTTCATATACAGTTCAGTGGAGGAAGCCGTGGGCTGATATTCGGAATTTAGGGTTGGGGGACTGGGAGTGTCTTGGGTGTGAGTCAATCATCAAGGGATTCTAAACTAGCCTCTGAGGCACTAGAGCTGTATGTCTTTCAGTAACTGTATCTGCAGGGACCCTACAAATGCATGACATTGGGCCACCCAAGACCTACTAAAGCTGGTGCCCCAGTGGCACCCATGGGTGACCAGGAGGTCAAGCTGGAGAAAGGACGCACAAGTGGCCTGGGGCGCGGGCAGAAGAGAGTTTCTGCCGTCATTTATGGCATGTGACACTGCCATCGTCTGCAGACCTCTTGTAATTCAGCCAGGGATGCCTTGGCCTCCTGCTCCCGGCATCCACTTCACGGTGCGTGTTCTCTGCTGTGACCTGTGTCTCTTCAGTCCTCACACTGTTACATCTGTGTCCACAGGGGAGTTCACTGTGTCTGGTCCCTCAGACCCCATTGTGGTTGCTCCAGGTGGGGAAGCTGTGCTCCCCTGCTTCCTGTCTCCAGCCAGGAGTGTGGAGAACGTGGAGGAGCTCAGGTGGTTCCGTAACAGATTCTCAGAAGCAGTGTTTGTCTATCGGAACCAGCAAGAGCAGAAAGAAGAGCAGAGGGCTGAGTACGCAGGACGGACCTGCCTGGTGAAGGACCAGTTCCATGAAGGCAAGGCTGCCGTGCACATCAGAAACGTCCAGGAGTCGGACAGTGGGATATACGTCTGCTTCTTCAAACAGGGTGTCTTCTATGATGAGGCCATCTTGGAGCTGAAGGTGGCAGGTTGGTTAGCCGATCCCTCTTCTAAAGATGTTGGGTGGCCTGTGTGTGGGAGGAAACTGAGGGATGATGTCACTCACCTCCCCAATTATTTTTGAGCAAGGTCTCATGTAGATCAGACTCGTTAAGCCAGTGTGTAGTTCAGGATGACTGTGAACATCAGATACCCGTGCTTGCTCCTAAGTTCTGGGCTCACAGGCACACTCCATCACACATGGCTCAGGTCTACCATTTTTATTTCTATTTAGTTTTGGATTTCCCTTTTTAAAGATGAGAAATAGATGGCACTTTTCTATATAGGTTATTTTATTCTAAATTCTGTATGTGTAGTTCCTAAAATATGCTGGTCCTTGCTCTGGGAACCAGGGATCCTTTCAGTGTCATATAAAATAGTAGCTGTTTGGAATTCATATTTTAGAGGAGTAGGCAGAAAAATCAGAGTGCATAAATGAGAAGTCACTGTTCAGTGATGATCAATGCTCAAGAGAAATGATTGAGTAAGAACGTTCAGGGCGTTGTCTTCCCTAGGAAAAAGGTGGGCATGGGCCTGCTCTCCTGGGGGCGGGTGTCACAGGTGTTCATGGATAATGGAGAGATGGAGTGATTTTTTTCTACCTCAAGGCTCTGGGACTCAACTTCCTTCAGTTTCCTTTGGGTCTTGTGACTGATAAAAGAGTGCCTTATGCTCTGTTCCCCATAGCAGTGGATTATGATATCTTTCTTCTGTTGGGCAGCAGGAGTAAAGCCTTGTCCCAGGCCAGGTTTGCTTTTCCTCTTCAATACCTGTGATTCCAGTGAGAGTTTTCTATGAGACACATAGGTGCTCCTGGGGCCCCTGAGCCCAGAGTGGCTTCTAGGGTCTTCACATGTGTTGTCCTGCAGCGATGGGCTCTGTCCCTGAAGTGCACATCCAAGGTCCAGAAGACGGTGGTGTGTGTGTGGTGTGCAGGGCTTCAGGGTGGTACCCAAAGCCCCAGGTGCAGTGGAGAGACTCCAGAGGGGAGACACTCCCAGCATCCTCTGAGACCCACACTGAAGATGCTGAAGGCGTGTTCAGCATGGAGTCCTCGTTGGTGGTGAGAGACAGTTCTTTGGGGAATGTGACCTGCTCTGCCTTCAATCCCATCTTGGACCAGGAGAAGGCCATGTCCATGGTCATCCCAGGTGAGGGCTGTTCCTCACTTCTACAGAGCTTGGGAAGTGGATTCCGTCCTGGAGTGTGCTGGGCTGGCTGTCCTCAGGTGTCACTCACTGTGTCTCTGCCTGGGCCACAGAGCCTTTCTTCCCTCAGACTTCTCCCTGGATGTTAGCTTTTGCCATCGCCATGCCAGTGATGGGACTTCTAGTCTTAGCGTCATGCTGCTTTCTTGTAAAAGAACGTCATGCAAGGCTGCAGTTGCGGCAGGAGAGGGAGAAACTGCTGTGTGAGCTCGAGGAGTCCCAGGAGGACATACTGAAGAGCACGAGTGAGTCCTGACAGCGGACGGGGCCAGAGTCTCCAGGAAGATACCGGGTTCTGGGATCAGAGTAGGAAGCCATGAAAGCCCAGAGAGGATGGCTGGAGTCCTGGGGTCAGCTGGCCTGTGGTTTAGACTACAAGGAAAGAAAATTGCTTCATGGCTCTCTTCTGTGTTTCAGGCACACTCCAGGAGGAGCTTGGTGAGTCATGCTTTTCCTCCTGACCCTTTGTCCCCTCAGTAGCCCAAAGCTCAGTTGACTCCTGTGTGTTGTTTTCCAGATCGGAGGAAGGCAGCTTACATGGCTGGTGAGTGACTGCCCCAATGTCCCATGGGTCCTTGTGGCACAGGAGTGTCCTCTCCTTGATTCTAGGCAGAATAGGAACCCCTTTAGGGGACAGAAGAGGAATGTTCTGGGAGGGGGAATCCTGGTCTCTGGGTTCCTTCAGATCTCTGCCCAGAGCTGGGAGACATGTGACTCCTGATTTGTCCTGTTCCCTGGGTCTATTCCTACCAGTTCCTGTCTACCGTAGTGCTGACTTTTGGCCCCACGAGCTCTAGCATATTGTCTGCACCTGGGAGCCAAGTAGCACTATTTAAATGTTATTAAAGAAGGTATCTCAGGTTTCTAGTGCTACGATAAAACACCATGGCCTAATGCAACTTGAGCAGCATGGGTTTATTTGTCTGATAGATTTTCCCATTGCAGCTCATCATTGAGGAAAGCCAGGGCAGAACCCAGGAAGGAACCTGGAGCAGCAACTAAAACTGAGAACATAGTGGGCAGAGGTCTAAGGGGTCCTTTGCACCTGTGTGCAGACTAGGCAATCATGGAACCCTGGGCTGACCAGTGTACTGCCTGAGTGCATTCTGCCAGGTGACATGGGCAGGCCAGCAGAATGCCTGAATCCGTACAGAGGCAGGTATTTGATAACTAAAAAGCCACACAGCATTGGATCAGTGGATGAACTCAGCCTACACCACCATCTTTCCCATCTGTGGTCCAGGGAATTTCCCACAGTTCTCTGCTGCTGCTTCATCTTGCGGGAGTGAGCTCCTCAGCATCTTCTGTCCTCTTATCTCAAGCTTCACCTTTAGAATGGAGGGAGGAATGGGTTAGGGATGTTTTAGTGGGGCTGTTCTGATGAATTCTCAGGAGCATATGTTCCTTTACAGCCTGGAGGAAGGCCCAGCTGTATGCAGGTACGTGACCGCTCTACATTGCTATTGTCTGGGCAGAAAGTGTGTTTGAGAGATTCCTCTGCTGTGGTGAAACACCATGTTGAGGTGTTTCACCAAAAGCAAGTTGAGGAGGAAAGTTTGTGTGACTCCCACTTTCAGTCCCTCACCACAGCAAGGAAGGGTGGGAAGCCAGCCAGGGCAGGAATGTGGAGGCAGAAGCTGATGCAGCATCCCCGGGGGAGTGTTGGGTACCGATTGCTCCTCCTGGCTTGCTCGGTTTCTCTTGTAATACACCCCATGACCACCATCCATGGATGACACCGCCCACCATGGGCTGGGGTCTCCTGTATCAATTATCAATTACCCATCAACCCAGAAAATTCCCCAAGACTTGCCTATCGGCCAATCCTATGCAAGCATTTTCTCTACTGAGATTACTTGGTCCCAGAGCCCCCACCTGTGTCAAGCTCACTAAAAGCTAGTAGGAGGCCTGCAGAAGACTGGGCCAACAAGGAGGGAGGAGCCACAGGGCCTTTCTCTTCCCAAGATGATGCTCTCTCTCTCTCTCTCTCTCTCTTTCTCTCTCTCTTTTTCTCTCTCTGTCTCTATCCCTATCTGTCTCCCTGTCTCTGTCTCTCTCTCTCTATGTGCCTGCGCGTGCGTGCGTGCGTGCGTGCGTGCGTGCGTGTGTGTGTGTGTGTGTGTGTGTGTGTTGGCATGCATCTCAAGGTCAGTGGACAACTTGCAGAAGTCTTTGTTTATTCTCTATCACATGGATCACAGGAACCAAACTCAGGTTGTCCGGCTTGTTGCAAGCATTGTTACCTGCTAAGTCATCTCGATTACCTTCCCTGTGAGGCAGATAAAGTTGGCTGGGGGAAGGCCTCATGATCGTGTTCTTCCTCTAGTACTTATGTAGACATCTAATGACTATTAGGTTAGAGGGATTTTTTTCTTTAGTGTTGTGGTCGCTCATCCACACCTCATGTTCTATAAGAAGCCCTAACTAAACTCACTGTTTCTGTGTTTCCACAAACTGGTCTTGAGGGGAATCCTTCCTTTGATCTGTTTTTGGTTCCCTGTCTTCATGAATAGACATGTGCTCATCTCTCCAGTAAAAGCTCACACAGCACTGACTGTCATGTCTCCTCTGGCCTCACTTTCTCCAGCATCTGTCATCCTGTGTGTGTGTGTGTGTGTCTCTCTGTGTGTGTATGTGTGTGTGTGTGTGTGTGTGTGTGTGTGTCTGTGTGTGTGTGTGTGTGTGTGAGTGTGTGTGTGAGTGTGTGTGTGTATGTATAATGGGTATATTGTCCCCACAACTCCCAGGTCTGTGTTTCACAACACAGTGGCTGACCAGATGGGTGTGGTGTCTGAAACTGCTCACATGACCTGTGCTTCTCTTGCAGATTGGCGCAAGGAGCACTTCCAGGCCTGTGAGTGACTCTGTGTTTCTTAGGGTCACTCCTCCTGCTCTTCCCATGGCTCTGGTGTCTCTCCTTCTGTTCTCTGTGGCAATCCAGTGGTGACAGGTTCAGTGGTGGCAGTGTGGGAGGCACAGGGGGCAGACACTAAGCTGGGTCTGGTTTTCAAGGGCCTTGTGACCTTGTAACCCCTAGACAGCATTTTGTTCCCTTGTGACCTTGTAACCCCTAGACAGCATTTTGTTCCCTTCTCCTGCATGCAAGCCGTGGGCTTGAGCCACAGGCTGTTATGTGAGGGCCTTGTCCCCCTGGAAGAAGCTGAGAGCCCCTGATGTGGAGTTGGGGCTGCTGAGGCCTTGTTTGGGGCCTGGAAAGGACCTCCTGTGACTGGTGACTCTCCCTGCAGGGTCTGTCACTCTGGATCCAGACTCTGCCCACCCCCTTCTTGCCATCTCTCAGGACAGGGTGCACGTGACCCTGATGGACACCACTATGTGTCTGGATGGCCTCTTCTGTGTGTTAGGCATGGAAGGCATCTCCTCTGGAAGGTGCTACTGGGAGGTGAAGATAAAAAATGGAGACAGCAGCAAGTGGATTCTGGGGGCCTGTCGGGAAGATGTGGACAGAAAAGGCTTGTACTTTGAGAGTCCAGACAAGGGGTTTTGGACTGTGGGAAGGTCTAGTAGTGGATATTGGGCCTATATTAACACTGGGAGGGCTTCATTATCCTTTAGGCAAACTCCCCAGAGTGTGGGTGTCTTTGTGGACTACAGTGAAGGTGACATCTCCTTCTATAACATGAGTGACTTGTCCCACATTTTCAGCTTCCACGAAGCTTCCTTCTCTGGGACTCTTCATCCATACTTGAGGATTAAGTCTGGAACTGTTTGGATGATTCTCAGCTCCATCGCACAGGGGTGTGATGGGGAAAAGTGGGAGGAGAGAAGGAGCAGTAAAGGGAGGAGTGGGAAGAGGCGGAAGAATGGGAAGAAGTCATTTTTGTTTCCTTTGAAGCAGTCTCTGAATTCCCCAGGTGGTGACATCTCCTTCTATAACATGAGTGACTTGTCCCACATTTTCAGCTTCCACGAAGCTTCCTTCTCTGGGACTCTTCATCCATACTTGAGGATTAAGTCTGGAACTGTTTGGATGATTCTCAGCTCCATCGCACAGGGGTGTGATGGGGAAAAGTGGGAGGAGAGAAGGAGCAGTAAAGGGAGGAGTGGGAAGCGGGGGAAGAAAGGGAAGAAGTCATTTTTGTTTCCTTTGAAGCAGTCTCTGAATTCCCCAGGGGAGGGGCTCACACCAGGCTCTAAAGGTGTCCACTCTCCCCCAGGGGAAGCATCCCCTTTCCTCCCTCACCCTGTCACACTTGACTCCCATAGTGCAGACACTGTCTCTAAGTTGTCAGTGTGACTTCTTGTGGGACTGTAGAAGTCACAGGCAAAGCCCCCGGGATGAGTCCTGGAAGGGCCTGGAGCCTTGATCCACCACTCTCAGGGCTAACTCTGAGGGGTGGCTGTGGGGCAGGGGACCAAGCGTTGCGACTGGGCAGCAGACGATGAGCCCTGACTTTTGCTTCACCTGGTTTGGGAGGCTTGTTCCTTTATGTTGCTTTTGGTGATAAATGCATTTTCTTGGGTTTTCCACCATTTGGTAGGAAATGGAGCAAGGGCTGAATGGCCTTTGTTTTAATTGGTTCATCTGGTCATGGGCACCTAGGGTCTGCTCTGCTTGTTGGCCCTGTGACCAGTGTGCTGTGAATGCCGGAGAGAAGATGATTCTGACACTTGAATTCCTGTTCTCTGGATTCGTTCCTTGTAGTGGGGTTGCCGGATCATAGTTAATTTCCAGTGGCCCTTGTCTGTGGACAACAACCTGTTCATCAATGTCCATGAACCAGCCTTTTCATTTTATCCGCTGTCAGTGATTTATTCTTTTTTTAATTTATTTTTTTATTTTATATGCCTTGGCATTTGGCCTGCATGTATGTCTATGTGAGGGAGTCAGATCCCCTAAAACTGGAGTTGTCAACAGCTGTGAGTTGTCATGTAGTTGCTGGGAATTGAACCTGGGTCCTCTGGAAGAGAAGCCAGAGCTCTGAACCACTGAGCCATCTCTCCAGTCTGTCAAGATTTGTTAAATAAATTCTTTGATTTCTATATTTGAGTCTCTCTCTTTATTCACACACACACATACACACACACATGCATGCACACACACTAACACAGACAAATACACATATACGTATGCAAATTAATTCACATTTTCTGAAGGTTGGCTTCATATATTTTAACTGTTTATTTATCTATCATCTATCCATATGTCATCTATCTATCTATTATGTATCTATCATGTATGTATCTATTATCTGTCTATCAATCTATAATCAGTCTATCTATCAATCATTTTTTTTCTATCTTTCTATGTATTAAACAGGATCTCAGGTAATCCAGGTTGGCTTCTGTTGTGGGCATTTTCTTTTCCTGCCAGGTTCTGCTGCCCTTCTCAGCCCCAAATAAACACACAGACACTATATTAATTATTAAAGTGTTGACAGATGGCTAGGGCTTCTTATTGACTGCCTCTGTCTTAATTATGAACCCATTTCTATAAATCTATGTGTTTCCCCATGGCCTTATCTTTCCAGAGAACGCCTGGTGCATCCTGTCCTGTTCTCTGCGTCTCGTCCTTTTGGGGCTCCTCTCTCCCAGCTCTCCTCTTCCAGCCCCACTGATCTTTCCTTCTCAACTGGCTATTGGTCAAACACCATTTTGTTCATGAACGAATAAGAGAACCATATACACAGAAGGACATCCCCATCAGACTTGGACCTCTCTTTGTAGCCAAGTGCGGTGTTTTCAGTGAGAAGGTCCACTGTAGTCCTGCTGTTTGGATGCTTGGTCCCCAGTTGGCTGTGGTGTTGGTTGGTTTGGGATGTGAAGCCTTGATGATGTGCATCACTGGTGCGGGCTGTGACATTCTCAGCTTGTCCTCTCTGCTTCCTGCTTGTGGTTCAAGACATAGGCTCTCAGGTTCCGCTCCAGCCACCATGTTGTTGGACTCTTTCATTGGGACCATTGGCTCCCCAGTAATCATATGGAGATTTATTGTTAATTATGAAAGTTCAGAAGATAGCTTAGGCTTGTTTCCAACGAGCTCTTATAACTTCAATCCATCCATTTCTTTCTCCCTTGTGGCTTTATTTTAATTTAGTTTCTGCCTTGTGGCTTTATTTCCTCATCTCTGCATTGCCTATCCTGCCTGCTCTGTGTCTCTTCCTTCTTCCCAGTGTCCTCTCTGCCGGGAAATCCTGCCTAGCTTTTTACTAAACCAGTCAGCTTGACCCTTTCTCACAGTGTACAGAAAGGTTATTCTACACCAGCCCTGTGCTTCTGCTCTGTCACTATGGATTCTTGTCCCTCTGAAGCACTTGTGACAGGACAAGATGGTGCAGAGCTTCCTCCAACTTTGTTCTTGCTGAGGATGTTTCAGGTTTAACTAGAATTTGATCTCCTTGACGAAGAACCCCATGGGAAATTACCTGGCTCTATATCAGGAACCGAGCTCAAGAAGCCCCAGCTAGCTTATCTTACCTCCTGTTGCTTGCTTGTTCGAAGGCCTCCTGCAGGTGCCAAGTAGAATGCCAGGATGTGTTTTTTGATTTCAAAAGCACCAAACTCTGGACACTTGGGGTTTCATTCTGGTCCCTGAGTGCCAGAGTGTAGTCCCACCCAGGTCCCTGGGTACTAGAGTACAGTCCTATTGGGGTTGCTGAGTACCTGAGTGTTGTCCCATCTGTGTCCCTGAGTACCTGGGTGTAGTCCCACACAGCTGGGATGAAGACTTTCATCTGGGTGTGACTGTTTGAGTGGTCACCTCTGGTATGCTCCCATCACACAGAAAGCACAAGCAAACTCTTCCTTCTATAGGTTGCCTGGTCATGGCATTTTAGCTCAGCAATAGAGAAATAACAGATATGGAAGTTTGTGGTAGAATTGTGGGGTGTGTTTTCTTTGCAAATTTAATGAGTGTGTTGTTCAGTTTTTAATGTCAGCTTGACACAAGCTAGAGTCATTTTGAAAGAGAGACAGACCCTCAGTTAAGAAAAGGCCCTCATTAGGCTGGCCTGGAGGCAAGCCTGTGTGACATTTTCTTAGTTAATGATTGATGCTGGAGGGTCCAGCCTATTGTGCCTGGTGCTTTCCCAGGCCTGTAGCAGCCTTTCTTTTGGGCCTCCAACCAGCTCCAAAATCATGAAATGGAGGCTTGCTATTAATTGTGAATACTTGGCCTTAGTTTATGCTTGTACCACCAGCTCTTATAGCTTAAGTTAACCTGTTTCTCTTCATCTACGTTTTGCCTCCTGGCTTTTTGTTTCTTTCATTCTGTATGTCCTACTGTGTGTGTGTCTGCCTGACTGCCCTGGGGTGTCTTCCTCTCTTCGTCCCTATTCTCCTCTCCCTTCTCGTCTGAGCCTGGATTCCACCTACTTACTCTCTCTCCCCACCTTCCCCTACTGCCTAGCTATTGGACATTCGGCTTTTTATTCGACCAATCAGATGCCTTAGGCAGGCAAGGTGAAACAGCAACACAGTTTTACATAGTTATAGTAATATTCCACGACACTGCACTGCTGGTCCTGGGTGCTATAAGAAAGCAAGTTGAGCAAGTCATGGCAGAAAGCCAGGAAGCAGCCTCCTCTATGGCTTCTGCATCAGTTCTGCCCTGCTTGAGTTCCTGTCCTGACTTCCTTTGATTAATGACTGTTGGGGAATGTACTACTGTGTATGTTTATCTTATTGATTGTTAAATAAAATACTGTTTGGCCAATGAGACAGCAAGTTAGATGGGACTAAGAGTCAAAGAGGATTCTGGGAAATGTAGTAGAGAAGTGGTGATCCAGGCAGGAAGTGACATAGCAAGGAGACTCATATTTAAGTGAAGGAGAAACAGGAAGGGTCCCCTTTTCCCCTTTCTCCTCCAGCAGCAGGATGTGAGCCACCGGCAAGGAGGGACGCCAATAAGGCATCCGATAAGATAAGTCTTATAAAATATATAGATTTATGATAATTAAGACTGAGCCAACAGATGAGGAATCCTAGTCATTGGCCAAGCAGCTTTGAACCTAATACAAATTTCTGTGTATTCATTTGGGCCTAACTTGGGCGGGCGGCTGGCGTAAAGTCCACATGTGGCAGTGGGGCTCGGCGGCTTTTGGCAGAAAGATTTATCATGACAAATGACTGTGATGTGGACGTGTAATGGAAACAAACCCTCTTCTCCCCATATCACCTATGTTTATTGTGGTGTTTTACTACATCACAGAAGCCTTAACTAAGACAGTGCGCATGGCCTCTTTTCGGGAAATGTGTTATAGAGTAAAGAAATTAAGTACTGAGACTATAGCTCCATGGCAGAACACTTGACCCTCATCCATGAGGTCCTGGGTTCAATCCTCAGTATTGTAAAGCAAAACAAAGATCATCCAAAAGTAGACAGCATTTATCAACTTAAAGAATTTCTCTTTAATTATATTCCTATTTTATTAATTATTTCTTCAAGCAGAGTTTGCAAAATTATCTCTTATGAGCCAAACTGAATTTGACGCTCTCTCTCTCTCTCTCTCTCTCTCTCTCTGTGTGTGTGTGTGTGTGTGTGTTGGCACACGCACTGTGAACTAATGTAAGCATTTATTTAATGTAAAATGTCCATTAGTACTTTGTGCTATGAGAAAAGATGAAATTCAAATTTCAGTATCCACAAATAGAATTTTATTGGGACACAGTGGTGTTCACTCATTTGTATGGCTGCCTTGGTAACAACAGGACAATACTGAATTGCTATAACAGGATATAAGTGGACAAGAATGTGAGTTTGTTGTGTTACAGAAAAATTTAATTGGCCTTTGCAAAGTAGTTACTTTATATAGTAATAAAATAATTACAAAGTCATTTTATTTAGTAGTTCTTCTGATCCTTTTATGTAAAAACTGGCATTTTGGGAAAGTTGGTTTCTTGGCTATGCGGAGTCAGGTAAGAACAACATCTGGACCCCCGTGTCTCCTCATACAGATGTGCAGGCTGACCACAGTGTCAGCCTTCCTCCCATTAGTCCTTTTGTGTAGCAGTGAGAGGGAGGGGCCTTCAGAGTGAGGGAACAAGAGAGGGCAAGATGGAGGGGTGGAGAGAGGGAGGAGCTTTGGGACTGTTGGGGGGATGAAGGGGTGGGGGTGAGTTAGGTCAGATGAGGCTCTGTGCAGAAGGTGGGTGTGGAGTGAGCAGAGGGAGGGGGTGGATTGCTTGCTGTGGAGGGAGCTGAGACACAGCCTGCTCCAGGCTCTCACCCTTAGCAGCCTGAGGAGTTCTAATCTCTGGGGATTGAGGTCTTGGTCCTCAACTTGACTACATCTGGAA